CTGCAATCTTAATTACACATATATCCAGCGTTTATAAGGAAAAAAAAAGAAATTTGACTGCGATTGAAATAGATCGCTCTGAACTATTAATCATGAAATTGCAAACGTCTGAGATTATTTCCATTCGTTTCTCTAACTGACAGAGCGATAAAATGATTCTGCGTATTTTGCTTTCAGTCAAGAATGACCCAACCCGCTTTCTTGGGGAGGGCGTATCGTTTAAGGCGAAGCTGATCGGTATCTTGGAGGTGTCGGAAGCGCGCGGTGACCGGATGTGCCAGGCGGCCTTGGCTGACCTGAAGATGGCGATTCGCGCCGCTGGTGAGCACAAGCAACGAATCGCCGTTCAGGTCAGCATAGACGGGCTTCGTTTAAGGGACGAAAAGACGGGGGTGAGTAGCGAGAAATTATTCACACAGATGGACATATCGCGGATCGATTTATACTATATAATTTATTACATCCTTTCGCAGGATTGTCTGTATCATCATCCGGTGCATAAAATATCATTTATTGCTCAAGATATGAGCGACTCGAGAGCCTTCGGATATATTTTTGGGTCACCGGATACCGGACATCGATTCTTCGGCATTAAGACTGATAAGGCGGCGAGTCAGGTAAGTTTTCCTCCCATTTTCGCTTCAAACGGTCGTCTCTTCTTCGCGCGACGTTGCACAGAAGAGAAGAATTTTCCTCTCGTCTAATGTAAAGCGAAAATCCGTGAAATAATGTAATTTACGACGAGTTCTTGTATCTTTACGAGTAACGCGCACTCGAATGTCAATTTTGAGGGATCTCGTATCACGCGCCCCCGGCAAATACGCGCGAAAATCTAATCAGGGTGCGCAAGACGCAGGGCGAGGGGCATCGAATTGATTTCGGCAGCTCGAGAGTTATCGGGGATACACACGCACGCGAGCGATTACGATTTTGCGTTCCTGCGTTCCTGCCGCCAAACGCGGTTAAAGTGTGTCAATTATCGGGAACGAGTAGCCGGCCGCGTATCGGGGAGGGTAGCCGGGGGGAAGGGAGAGCGGGGAGAGAGCCTAGAATGATATTTGCCCGATCCGAGAAGCAATATCGACCCCGGGCGACCGTAATCCCGGATGCGTATGTAAATAATTGCATTACACGGCTCCGCGTTCAGCCTCGCCCCGTTCCTCCGTTGCGTCCTCCTCGCCGCGGGAGATTGTTGCCGGATTATCCACGGCTCGCTTCGTATGCCGTTCAAAGGGATCGACGAGCAACTTCTTGATATTCAAATCCGTCAGTATATCCCACTTTTGTGCTCAAGCACCGCGCGGTTTAACCATCGAGCAAACGCCCTTTTGAACGTTTCCTTTTTCTACGTCGAAGAAAATCGAAAGTCACACGCAAGTAACATTGCACTTAATTGTAATCGGCTAGGAGCGGAACAACCGTAAAAAGATGTTATCCTAGAGATAACAGAAAATTTAATTTCAATAATGAATTTTAACGATAATAAATTAGATAAGCGAGAGCAACGGCGTATAATATTTTGGCATTACCTCATTGAATTTAATTGTGCATGTCACATTTAATTGCAAATAAGATCTTTCTAATCTAATTCATTAGAAAAATTCACAGATGCTTATCTGAATCTCTGGTTAAATGTTCTCCGCTATATAATGCGTTTATTCTCACTTGTCTCATCGAGCAAAATAAGTTCGTAACAGTTCCGCTGAGCCCTATTACGGTATTATTCGCGTAATACATTGCGGTCGGGAGTAATTTTCCGCAAGACGCAATAGTAGCAAACAGAAGTTCATGACGACTAATCGGCTGCGTTAAATCAAGAGGAATATGTTTAACTCTGCCACGAAGCGCAGAGACTTTCGCTCTCGATCGCACGAGCGAGCGCGCGCACGCTGGCACAATTGCCGGGCCCTTAACTCGCGCAATTCAATAGCGACGATTATCGTCGCGAAAATGAAATCAGCTCGGAGAAGCTCGCGCGACAGGTGGCAAATTAATTCAACAACCTTACGCCTTCATTCAATTTCCAAGTTTAATTTCTGCGCTCGCCTCCTGTAAACGGCTCTGGGCGGTAATCCTCACCCGTATATTCGGCGGCGGTCGTGTTTGACGCGCCGCTGGAGGTTTTAACCGGCATGGAGTCGCGGCAAACAGAGGGTTCTCGCGCTGATAGCACGGGGGGGCAGGAGGGAAGGGTGAGAACGGAACGAACGATCGAAGAAAGGTTTCGGAAATTACGGTCAACGGGCGTGGGTAGCGCTTCCTATTTCTTCGATATTTTTCAGTCCCGAAGAAAAAGAAGTTAATTCAGATCTCTGTCGGGAATTCTCGAAGCTTCAATTTAGTCTTAAATTAAAATAAAAGGAAAAATACCCTTCTCTTGTTTCTTGTAACATAAGAGACTATCATGCGTGTGTCTAACAAAAGTTTAAAAAATAAAACTAAAACAAATGACAAAATTCATTAACAAAAAAATCTTGTTATTTTTAAGATTAAGTTTCTCGAGAAAAGGGTGATTTCTTCAAAAATTAAATCGACAAATATTATTAAATAAGAAAAATTCTCTAAATACGTCTGACTTCGAATATGCGAAATGTATAAACGAGTTTACGTCCGCGGTTAAAGTTTGGCATACCGCAAATGACACAAAGAAAACGTTTTGTTTAACAGGTGGTGATAGCGATGCGGGACTTGTTCCAAGTAGTGTTCGAGCTGAAGAAGAAGGAGATCGAACTGGCGAAACAGCACATAGAGCAGAATGCCATTAATGCGATTAAATTCCACACCGGCGGTATTTTCGTTGAGTCGGCACCCGACACCAAGGTGAGTTCCAATACTTCAAAATAATTGCTGCAGTCAAAATATATCGGCTAAATTGTTTTCTCAAACGAGTCTTCTTACTCGTATTTTTAACTGCTTCTTCATTTCCCTCATATAGTGTGCCTGAAGTATCATTATTCACAGATACGTTTGTTTAAATAGTTTAAAGTTAACTAACGTTTAACTAATTCTTCATCTCCTTCTAAATAGATCTAATTTAAAAACGTCATGATTAGTTTAAAAGAAATTTTCCCACACAATATTACTTTACCCTAATCATAATTAATATAAATGTTTGTCGCTATTTATGTTACACTCATCTCATTTCATTATAATAATTTAGAAAGAAATAAAGAATGTTGAACGAGACAGAGAGTACGAGTTAATTGACGTTGGTGAAATCGGCTCTAAGAGAAATAGTATTGATAATAGTAAGACATAATTATCAGAGGTCAGACGCGTTACGATAATTTGTCACAGGGCGCAGCGGGCACCGAGTCATCGTTTCATCGAATTCGCACGAGTAACTGCGAGGTCGACAAAACCGCCGATCGCAAGAACGAGACACAGAGTGGTGTGATTGCGGATTTGCTAGATCTGCAGTTCGAGCTGAATTCGCTGCAACAGGGCATTCATCAGATGGACAAAATTACGCCGGAAAATCCCGTACCGTCTACCGACGATCTATTCGAGACCGATCCGTTCGGTGATTCTTTCGCGAACATGAAGGTGCGATTAGTATTGCGACTTTGCGAATATCCTCTTCATTTAATACGCTAGAAATAAAACTGCAATAATTATAATTATTGCGATCTTAATATCGGCTTCTCGGAGAAACTTTATTTTCACGATCGAATATATCAGAAATAAATTGCAGATACGTAATCATTACAATCATGATAATTCATAAAGCGAATAAAAGGCGACACTTCTTATCAATATTATACGTTTTATTTTCCTGTACCTGTTGCAGCTGCAGGATACAGTTCGTCCGATTTTACCACCGCCACCCTCCTCGACGAAGAGGGGACATTTAGAGCGGCAGCATACTGTACCAGCACCGCCCGCATCGACCACTTCCAGTCCGGCGACAACGTTAGTTAGTAAAACACCACCACCACAAAGTACGATTCATTGGTTCGACAAGGAGGCCGAGAATCTCTTCAACGACGAGGAAATCACGAACCTGAGTAAGAATTCGGCGACGAAGAAGGACCAGGAGGACGTAAGTGTCAACTTACGTATGATCTTAATTATATTTTTTAGCAAATAAATACGTTTTTAAAATTTCACACGACGCGTATCGTGCTACAGAGCTCGACGGAGACTACCCCTCGCAATACTCAGACGAAGAGCCCGCAGATCGACGTGTTCACGGAGCTGGATCCCCTGGGGACCGGTCTGATCAAGCCTTACGTGGACAAGAAAGATTTCTTCCAGCACCTGAAAAATCCACCGAAGAAAGTCCTCAAAGATCTGGTATCCACAAATTCCACTGATAGCTTTCCGACAAATTTCAATATCACGACCAGCACGGATTGCGCGGAGTCGACGAAAACGCAGAACGAGCTATCGTCGAGGGACAGCGAGGACAGCAACTTCGCCAACTTCGATCGATTCGACGAGAACGAGGCGACCCAGTCCAGCCAGCAAACAATCGACTCGCCGCCGAAGAAAGAGACGGTCTCTCGGTCGATCCATCATCAGCCTCTCTCGGTGTCTTTGCCGCCGGAGGAGACGACGTTACCCAAAGCAGCGAGTACCGCTTCGGGAGGAAGCACGATCCTGCGCAGCATGGACAGAGATTCGACGGAGTCGACGCAGGGATTGGTGAAGCTACCGAGTCCGAAGAAGTATCTTCAATCAGTACGGAAGAGGGACTTCGACATCGACTTGCCGGCCGGAAAGGCGCAGTCTGTGGAGTCCAACAAGCAGTTTCCGGTGGATTTCTCGATAACGAACGAGTCGCCGGCATCGCCGTTACGGTCTTGCTCGTCGGACGCGAACTCGCGTCTCTCTAGCTCGAGCGCGGAATTAGATCTCGTGCCGGAACCACCGCCCAGAGGTGCGGGAAGCATTCTCATCAACCCGCCGCCTTTACCGCCGAAGAAGCAGGGGGCTCGAGGGGGCGCGAGACCACCGCCTAGACCGCCACACACGGAGGGACATTTCCAGTACGACTTTCCACAGCGTGAGGCTTCACCGTCACCCACCAAGATCATTAGGGATAAAAACAAAAGCCCGCCGAGAGACACCAAGGGTCATCAGTTCGACGATAATTTCAGTCCGCCTCCGCAGACATCCGACAAATCGGACTTTACGACGACCACTGCCTCCGCCTTCGAGGATTCTTTCAACACGATGATATCATCCGCGACGTCGTTGTCGTCCGTGCCCTTTACCAGCAGCAGCACCGTCCCGGTCACAGACTCGAAAAAGACGAAACCACCGCTCGACATTACGCTCAGTCAACTGACGTCGTCGTGGACGAATTTGGATGAGTTGGCCTCCAGCCTCGGCATGACCGTCCAGCAGTTGACAAGTCTGACTTTGACGCAGCTCACGCAATGTTTGGCGACTCTATCGACGAAGGAAACCAGCGTCGGCAACGTAGAGGAAACTATCGTTTCGCCAACAACATCGATAACGACGAAGGAGCAAACGATGTCAAAATCTGCGATCTCGTCGCTGTCGTCGTTGGCGTCAAAAGCGACGATCAGATCGAATTCGAGCTCCTTTGTATCGGAGTCTTTCAAAACTAATTACGAATCGGAAACAAAACCGGATCCTACATATGACAAATACGCAGTTTTTCGAGAATTGCTGGAGATGGAACAGATGGAACGAAAAGAGGAAACAACGGTCGAAGAAGCAATTGAGGAGGAAGAAGCGCTTAACGAAAACGGACAAGCTTCCGACGAAACGAAGATACAGCCGGAAGCGCAGACCAGCGAGAGCACTTCGAATTCTATAACTTCGTTGGTGAATCTAACTGTCAAGCTACCCGTCAAGAGCGAAAATTTGAAAGAAGGGTCTGCGAAGCTGGACGAAACGATGACTAGCTCTATCGCAATTTTAACGAAGGAAAAGTCGGTGGAAGTCGGGGATAAAGAAATCGAGAAGGAAAGTGACGCGATGGCAGATGCGGATGTCATATCCGATTCGTCCACGGTCCAGCAAACGGAGATAGACATCGAGGACGACACGGAGAAGACGCAGACTATCATGGAGGCGGAGGAGAGAGGGGACAACTCCGAGAGAGGAAGCGACGCCAATGGCACCTCGTCCGACAAGGTTGGCTCTGACATTCTCAACGACGAAACGAATGGCTCATCCGTGGCCGAAAGATCCTCGACGGAAGTGAAATCTTCGATCTCGACGTCAAGCGACAGATACGCCGCTCTGCGGGAGATCATCGGCGAGCCGGAGCCGGTACCGATTAAGAAAGACGACGAGGAGATGGTGAGCTCCGCCCGAGCGTCACCGGTGATGCAATCTCAGCAACAGATTCAGCAATCGAGAAGTCTCGCTGAGGTGGAATTGCTGAATTTGTTCTCCGATAACTTGCCGCCACCATCGAGTCCGAATATCTCGGTTAAGAAGGATTCGGAAGATCTGAAAGCCGTGGCGATGGACATCTTTGAAGAGATCAAGATGCTGAACACCGGCATGCATCGCGCCAAGGAGACCAAGTCACTCGCCTCGTCCTCGGGCTTCGAGGATATGTTCTGCCCGTTCGCGGAGACGACGCGGTCGGACAAGGACGACAGCAAGGAGGACAGCAATTGGGCCAAGTTCGACACGGGTATCTTCGGCTCGTCCGACAGATCTTCGTGCGAGGGGCAGCGATCGATAGGCGGCACATCGCCATGGTCGCCGGACGGCAAAGATTTCCACAGAGAGGTCCCGTTCAAGGGAAGCGGCGGTTACCGACACTCGGGGGACAGCGACAACGAATGGAAGGACGAGGAGGAGAGCGAGGAGAGCAACGGCAGGGCACGAGGGGACGGCAGATACTGGTCCGGCTCTCGGCATCCGCGATTCGATGCGCCCGGTTTCGAGGACAGATCGTTTTACGAGGACGCTGACAAGCGGGACCGCAGCTTCCGCGACAGGATGGGCAGGAAGTCGCGCGGTGCACCGTGGGCCAAGAGCGGCGGCGTTCATCGGCCGCGGGACCCGTCGCCCTGGCACGAGGAGAGCCAATGGGAGGACGACGGTCCGCGACGGTATCCGCATCGAAAAGTGCAGCCCTACAAAGACGAGGAGGATCAGTACGAGCACTGGAAATGCCGGCCAAAGCCGCCCCCGCCGCAGCGGTGTACCTGGAGCCACGACGTTCACGGTTCGTACTACGACGACGAGCGTAAACGGAAGCTGATGCTGTGGAACGAAGAGGACCGTTTCGGCAGCAGCCAGGAGAGCATGGGCTACGACGAGGAGGACCGGTGGAGCAGACGACGGTACGAGAGAAGACGATGGGAGGAAGATAACAGATTCTGGGGTAGAAGAGGACCCCCGGAAGCCGATTATTCTATGAGAGAGGCGTACTATTATTATCGCGATAGCAGAGAAAGACCTCACGATTATCCGTCCTGGGACGAGGAGTACGCCCCGGAGCGTCCGGGCGACGACTCGCCCAGATACAATCCGGCGGGTAGGAAGAGACACTGGCCAAAGAGACCCAATAGCGCGAACGACGGGCGTAACAGCGATATGGTGTACGCGGATCCGCGCAAATTCGGCGCCTCCAGATCCGAATGCAGCGACAACGACTCCGATCCGTACCTACGATCCTCACAGCGCTCCAGGAGCCGCGAGAGCTACTGGGGCAGCGATCAGGAGTACGACAGCTGGGTGGAGCGGCCGTACTGGTCCGAGGGTCCCGACTCGAAGAGCGAGACGATGCATCGCAAGCGAATAGCCAGGCACAAGACTCGACAGGTGCAAAAGACGCAGAGTCCGTTCGAGGACGATTTTGCGCAGAGCGTCGAGCATATGGAAGCTGCCGGCCCGAGCGGCGCGGTAGAATCGCTCGCACCGGTGGATACGCGCGTACGACCGGACACGGCTGATCCGAAGCGGGAACTGCCGCCCGCGAGTCCCTCGTCTGGTCTCAGAGGCCCCAAGGATCATCCTAGGCGAGACATTCCCGTCCGGGAGTACAGTAAACGGTCGAGCTACTTCGAGGACGATCTCACGCCCACGGCGAGCGCATCCAGCGACACGTCTGACCGACAGAGGTTGTCGTCCGAGCTCAAGGCCACGCCGGAGGAGCTGCCGTGTGACACGAAAGATCCGCAACAGCCCATCGACGGCTTCGTCTCCGAGGATAGCGGCCGCGATTCCTTCTTCAACGGCGACTTGAGGTTCGACGACGACGCCTTCGTCTTCAAGTCCGAGTTGGAAGACAATGTGCCGGACCATCGCGCCACTACGTTGCCGCTGAAGAATTCCAGGCAGGGAAAATACGGTCCGGGGAATAACAATAACAATAACAAGACGGCCAGGGGCGATCAATACATACGGAAATCGGAGTCGGTGAATATCTTCGCGAGAGAGAGCGACCCGTTCGACGGCGACGATTTCTTCAACTGATCCGTCGAGCGAACGACGAGAGTCAGGGTCGCTAAAACCCCGCGCTGAATTCGGTGACTCTGATGTGGACTAGATAATTGGAACTTGAATAAGAAGAAGAGAGAAGAGAGAGAAGGAGAACAAAGGGACGGTTTTCATTGCACACTCGGAAAACGTCGGCGCATCGTGAAAAACGGTGGAATCCGCGCTACAACGATACTTGGTTCTCCTCTAGTTGGCTATAGCAATTTTAACGTAGCAAAATTGAAGAAAGAGCTTTGAGTGCGGCTCAAACATATCCGAAAAAATTGTTGTCCATAGCGATTTTTTGCTGTGCTTCTCTCGTTTCACGAAATTCTTTTAAAAATCTGTTCTTGTCCAACTGATTCTTCGTTAAAAGATTCTCGTGTATTTTATCTTACATTAATTTACAGCATGCCTGTATTTTCTGACAGATTTAGTTTGTCCAAATCAAATGGATTAATTCGTTTTGAAAGAAAAGCTAAAATGCGCTCCGAAAATTAACGATTTTTAATCTTTTGTTTAGACATTCTGATAAAGAAATTTCAAAACACAACAATTCCACAAAAAAACTAGTCATTGTTCTAACGAATCTGTATATATCTAATATTATTGATGTATTAGGGTCGATTTGCCGAGAGAGAAAAAGAGAAAGATCAGCATGATTTAATATATTTATTAATTATTATATTATTATAATATTAATTGATTAATTGTTAAATATTATTTTATGCATTTATTTATATACTCAATTTGTTTAATAGCCATTACAAAGTGAATGTGCAGTTTAACTCTGTTTGTTTTAAAAGGAACGATTCTAGTCACCTGTGCGTAACCGTTGGATCTGGGAGCTTCGAGCGAGGAGAAACTGATAGCGTGCGTTTTGGGGAGTAATCAAAACATGATTTTTATACATTTTTAACTAGCATGAATCAATTACTTTGCATTAGGCATTCGTACATCGTCGACGATCCTTCTGCAAGCTCCCCTCAGATTCGCCATTCGGTTACGCTGCTGATAAATTGCTCTCATGTGTGAGAGATACGAAGGGTGGTAGAATTATGTTTACACAGACGAGATTATTGCCTTATGTGCGTCGTACCTTTAATGATTTAGTGCGCGAAACTGACTCGAGTATGAAAAGATTGCGCATTGTTTGATGCATATAAAGTCGGATTGTGGAAAAAAAAGCTCTGAAAAATACAAACTGAACTATCTTGCTCTCTAATTTTTCAACATTATCAATTATTTCGTTGTAAGTAAAAATAAACATAATACTGAGAGAATAATGTAATTCTAAGTCATAATAAAAACTTTACAATTAAGTAATATTTGTATAGGAAAAGATGTAAGACTTGAAAATTTCAGACAGTATCGTCCAGCATATGATATTTTGCATTTCTTTCCCTATTTAATGTAGAAGATTATTCTCGATGGCTTAAATTTACATTATTCTCAAAGTCTTTAATGAGGAAAATTGCGCTTTCATCAAAGCAAAGTGAAATGTAAAAGGAAGGCTGAACAAGAGTTTTTTACTTCAAGCTATAAATAATGTGCGCCGCCACATTTTTTCTGTCTAATCCAACCTTATACACAAGGTGCACAGTTATCGAGATTTATCGCAAATTCTCCGCTAATATACTTGCATGATTTACGTTGATGAGTATTCCTATACGCTAACCACCGTATTACAACGATCACGCCGACATTTTACACACTGTATGTACTTATGTAATAATAGTAGTAAATTATTTAACTCGTTTAATGGTTACTCGACACTGTATGCGTCAAAAATGATAACGACAATACCGCTTTAATGGAAATTCGATTCCTTGTCCCCCCTTTCCCCAAAAGATTTGTTAATACGGCTGATGATCAATTATAAAAAATCATGCAAATTTATCTCGCTGTTTTTACATACGACTTCTTAAAAGATCTGTGTAGATACAACTTTACGCAAGACTGCGGCGATTGTCGAAAAAAAGAAATTAAGCAATTGTATAAAATAAAAAGAATATATAGCGGTGACACATATCTTCAGTATTCTAGGTGATATTAATTACAATAACGATAATTTCAACGCTTAGTACAGTCAAAAGCTTTTCTGTTGGAAATAACCTGCTTCTAAGCTTAGAAATAGAAAAAAACTATTATTTTGCGAGCTTAAAATTATATTATTTTCGCGAGAAAAATTGAGCATTTTTTAAATTTTTATTTAAATATCCAGCAAAGATGAAATAAACTTTTGCTGTATGTGACATTGCTTATTTTGGAATTCTGACTTGAATATATCAAGAGCATTAAGAAGTAAGTATATAACAAAACAAGTAAGTATATAGTTGAGATTTTAATTTTTATACTGTAATAAAACTGTTTTTTTATTTAAAAAATTTTTTCAGTAAGAACAATGCTTTTTTGTTATAATTACTAATTAAAATTAAATTAACATTTAACAATATCTAGGCAAAAGATAGCTAATACCAAAATCAATCAATCCATATAGTCTCGCACTAAATAATGTTATATCGGCAATTAAAATATAATATAAATAATTTTATAAAAAAATTAATAAATTTAATTAAAGTAGAAGTAAATTTTGGAACAACATAAAATATGAAGGGAGATCCGCAAGAGTCTCATAAGTCTCATTGTGTATATAGCACGTGCATACTATCATGTGCTACTTCTGTATCCTGATGCTATCGTCACTGTCTCTTGTCGCTCTTTCGAACCTTCAGCTAATAAAAATATATAAAAAAAGAATCTCAAAACAATTCCGAGCCCTCGTTGTATTTCGCAATTCTTTGGTATAACGCATCCTATTCTTACGAGATCCTTCAGCAAGGCTCTTCTTCGCGTTTGACAAAAGCAAAGTGACAAATATATAGGCGCCAAGTCGTCGGGGTGGCGTCGTCATCGTCATCGACGTGCTCAGGCCGTATAATCGGTACGGCCACGTCCCTCGGCCTCGCGTGTGTACGCCACCCCGTTCCTTGATTTCGGCCGCGCACAATGCACAATAAAAGAGCATTAGGATCGCCGGCTTTGTCGAGAGAGAGCGGCTGCACGACTTCTCTCGCAACAATGGCGCGGCCTCCACTCGGCCGCGGTGCTCGAAACACCTGGCAAACAAGGAAACAATGCGCCGCACGAGCCGCACTTCGACGGGATTTCGCGCATTTGGGGGTGCGCGCACGCTAACAAATTATCGCCCCTTCCCTCCACCCTCTGCCCCATCTCCTGCCACCCCCGCGATTCACCCCCGACGGTACCGCATCTTTCTCGCATCTTTCTTCACCTTCTTTCCGCCTTCTTCGCTCGATGCTCTGTCGCGAGTTTCGGAATTGCGAATCGCATGCTTTTAGCGCGACAATTTTTCGAGCTCTCTATAGCCATAAAAAAAATCACCACGTTGCGTGTTTGAAGCATATTTTCGAAACGAGTGCTGAATAAATTGATCAGATTTTAGAAAAGTAAAAAAATTGAGTTTTTAATCAGTTTCTAACACATTTAATTTTATTAAGTAACCGATAATATTTTCTCTTAATATTAAAATATGTAATTTTATATATAAATATAAAATAAACTATCTGACTTTCTCACTAATCTCACGTAGAAAAATATAATATCATAATTAAAGATGTTTAAAACCAGCTTAAATTTAGGATAAAAAATTCTGTAAGGTATTTCTATCAAACAAAACATCAGTGATAAAAAAAGTAAATCTATAAGCATAGGTGGGTTCAGACCAGATCGCTATATCTTTGGAAGTGATGCACGAGGGAGCGGAAAGCTGTGGAAGAGGGCGGAGTGTAAAGAAGAGAAAATCAACCCGCATGTACTCGTATACGCACTCGAAAACGAAAAGTACTTTCGGGCATGCGGAGGCGGGAACCATAAAATGCACCGAGCGGCGGCGGTGGTGCGCGCCCTTCTCGGCCAAATGCAACTCTGAAAAGCCACGAGAAATGTTTGTAATTGGGATCGTTGGCCCATGCTCTCTGGGCTCAACGCGTTTAAGAGAGAAAGAGAGAAACGGAGAAAGAGCGGGCTCCCTTTTTGCTCGAGTGCGCGCGTACGCTTTTGCGATACGCGTCGGCGTTTTATTTTGTTAGAGCGCCTATATTCGGCGCATTAAATAGTTCATAACATAAGATACTGCATAATCTTCTGCGTTAAAAAACTTAAAGGTAGCTGTATTTCTGTAAATAATTATTCAGTCATAGTTAAATATTGGAAAAAAAACAGGATGAGAGAAAAACAGAGAGAGAGAGCATTATTTTGCTAAAAAATATTTTAAAAATCATAATTTTTTATATATAATTATTAACGCAATTACTAAAATTTCACTGTATAAGACTTAAATTTAATGGGCTGATATTATTCTGATTTTTTTTCTTATTTTTATATATAATATTGTAATAGCTTTTCCACGATTTTTCATATTGCTGGTTGCAGTAATAAAGTGTTCACACAGAAGAGCGATCACCGATAATTCACCCATTAAGTATTTCCCACTTAACGACGACATCGTTAGCGTCGGGCGCGCCAATGTGTGTCCATCAATATTTCATAAGTCTCGAGTAAAAGCAGCGAGTGTTTACCGCGTTCTAAGCAACTAAGCGAATCCTCGATCTCGTTCGCCGGTTAGCCGTAAGTGTGCTCCCCGCCGGCAAATTTGCATTGAATTGAATTTCAGATTCGGTCGCGCGGCTTCACCGCAATCGGGCCGCCGTTGAGGGCCCCCTCCGAACCCCCCTCCGTGTCTTTCTTCAATCTGCGCGAAATCAAATGAGACAATATACAGGGTGAACCACGTAATTTAACTACGCCGATTAATCAATATCGTTGATAGGACGATCTAAACTTATTTGTCTTGTTATTATCTTTTATAATCTTGAATAATTTGCTTTAGAATAGTCCGCAGAATGATTTCCGATATGGCGATATACATATCTTTCGACAGTCGTCCATCTTAAATATTTCCAAAATCATGTTCAACCTTTAAAATGAATAATCGATTTATCTGACTATATTTTCCGATGTCTGATATTCACTCAAATACAAAGCTCGCAATATACATCGTACGAATAAGGACTCAATCGTGATAAAAAGAATCTTCAATTTACCATCTCCGAACCGCATAGGTAAATGGCTCTTCCTACTCGATGCGAAAAGGAGTGAGGGGGGGGAGTCGCGGAGGACATCTCGGTGTCGGTGGCGAAAATGGCAGACGCGGCAAGGGACGGGGAGGAAAAGGACGAGACGAGGCTCTCGAGTAAAGAGAAGGGGTGTGAGATTCTCGACGAAGCGGGAAAACGACGTCTTGAAAAAGGTGCAAAGCCGACAGTATTCTTTGTAGCGGGGATATTCGCCTTGTGCCGCCAAGACCTCTTCGCACTTCTTTACCTTTCCGCGTCCCACCCTCCGGCTCCTGCGACGCTTTCGACTTTCTTGCGCAGCGCCTTCTTCATCCTCGCGACTACCATCACCACCACCATCACCACCACCACCACCACGTCGTTGCTACTACTACTACCACCGACTCAACTACCACCAATCCAACTGCCACCGCCGTCACGAGGATCGGCTAGTAGTAGCAGCGACTTACTTCTCCGCCCAATGCCGGATCCCTCGCCCGACTGGAGACTCTCTTTCGGCACGGGATATTTACCAACATCCAAGATGGCGGCATAATCTCGCGGAGCTTTTTGCGGGGAGGGCCAAGAACGGCGACGAGGACGAGTCATCCGCACAGCGGCGACGCGGTCTTTCTCCGCCAGTAAACACTCACTCTCTCTCTCTCTTTCTCTTTCTCTCGCTGCTCCTCTCACGATTCTTACTAACTTCGTCCTCGTCTTATTCTTCTTCTTCGTCCTCCTCCTCTTTGAGCTCTTTGTGAGCTTTGTGCCGCACACCGTGCACTTTTGTCACCGCAAAAGCGGCTGCGCTTCTATTTTTCAACGTCGACTGCTCTCCCGCGAGATTGAGGATTTTAGGTCGCATAGTGCTATGTAGACGACGAAATGCGTCGGCGGTTCCTTAATCCGCGAATCTCTTTGCACATGTGTCGCGAAAATTTTAGAAAATTTTCTTGTAAAACGTATTTAAGATTATTTTACAAAACGGTATAACGTAAATTATTACTTGTTTTAGTGTTATATTCTGAAATATTATTATGAAACTACACGATTGATTAAAACTTCAGTATATAGAAATTTAATTGATAAAATTGGATGTGTGCGCTGACATATTTCGTTATGAAAAAATTATGTCTACTAAATACATAGATAAATTTACAATATAGCATATGTTTACATTCTTAGTTCGTGTACGTCGTAATTTATCAGATCCACTAAAAGTTATAAATTTCTCTCAAAAAATCTTTGCTAAAAGTTAAATTAAACCACATATCACGCATTAAAACTAATCTATGTATTCTTAAAGTTTTTTTTATCTTCAAGTTAAATCCACTATTCAGATACTCTTTCACCTTTTCTTTCTCAAATGGTAAATAAATTATCTGCTTAAAAAACAACATTGTGTTTAAATGTCAATTATGAGTTTTACGTAAAACGTTCGAACAATCTTCACAAAAAAATCGGTCAAATCGAAGTTAGATCCCGAATCCAGCGCAAATTCATTCCGCTATACGTAGTTTCGTAGCCGCGAGTATAAAGCCGACGACACCCGATCGCGGTTTGCCTTGGAATTTCCAGAAGATTTGGTCCGAGGAAACTGACGGTGGCGAGAACGGGGACAGAAGGAGGCAGGGGGCGAGAGGGAAGAAATCAGGAGGTAAATACGAGCGGCGAGAGTCCAGGGTAAGAAGCAATCGGATCGAATGGTGGAACTCTCGGAATCCGCAATCCGCCGCGAAGTGAATGGCGAACCTCGAAGAGTTCTATGGAGCGGGGCGCACTCCACCCCGCGCGGGCGTCGCGCGTTTTCCTTTCCTCCACCCCTGTCGTCCTCGTCGGTCTTAAGATTAAGGCGCGGTAATCGCTGAATCGGCAAGGGAGGCCGAGAGGCAC